TGTGAAGCAGAGCACTTGTTAAAGCTTGTAGGAGTGCTTTCTGCTGGAGGATGCAGAACCCCTGACCTCTGGACAGTGCCGATTGGCCCTGTGCTGATCGCATGTACTCCCCAATAAAAAAACCTCTAGCAACACTAAACTGAGCATGTGCAAAATGGCTACAGTTCAGTCTGTCTCATCAGGAGATAAGACATGGCCATTTGAACAAAAGGAGGAGCAGAAAAGTCAGGATCAAACTGCTTTTTTTTTTTTTAACACAATGGAAAGGATTAACCCCTTAGGTTCAACAAGCATGATTTACTGCATTTACTGTTGTGGTTTTAGTAACACTAATGGGGGGAGCCAGACTGTAAAGCAGAACTTCCCTTTTTGGATAGAGCTCCGCTTTTACTATACTATGAGTTTCAGACAAGCTGACTTCCATACAAGCAGTCAGTTTGTGGTTAAAATTGTTAGACCAACTTCAGTACAACCAGCCTGCCCCATATATGGATCAAAAGTCAGCCAGCTGTTACTGAACCAAACCAATTTTAATCCATCTATGGCTGGCTTTGCCTGCGCAGTCTTGAATGCACACTGAGCTGTACATGCACAGCTTAGCATGCATTTCTGGCACAAGTCAACTCTGCTGGGATGCTATTTCCCGAGTCAAAGAGGCAAAAACAGCACCCAGAAGTAACCAGGATTGTCATACCCATGGAAAGCAGTTTCCTGGATATAAGCATAGCCACACAGAGCTGCATAGTATTAACTGGTCAAACATTTAAAGTCTATTCACACAGCCCAAACACTAAACTGGAGAAGTTTAGTATTTGGGAAGTCACCCGTTTTAACTGCAGTGAGCCATGGTGAAGGGACAATGTGATGTGCATTTTACCACATCAGTTTTGTGTCAACTGACAATCACAAAGTGACACTTCATGCTACTGCAGAGCAGAGGTGTACTGCTATGCAGTGACATGCTGCAATTTGCATGTCTGCATTTTGTTGCAACTCCCAGCACCTCTGGGCTATGTTGCAGTGTGAACAGGACACAGGAAAGAATTATTTTCTGTATCCCAGTAGTGACATTCATCTAGCCAGTGTGGTAAAGTGCATGTCACCGCATTTTACCACAGGCCTTATACCCATGTCCGTTCCAACAGTTTAACCCCTGTGAGGTGCCTTGCCAGCATTTTCTCCCCAGCTTGTTCCGGGCGCAGACAGCATGTCTCTTCTGCAAAAGCCTGCCTGTTCACAATTTCTCAAGCGATAAGTCATTTCCAAACAAGTCCATCGCATGTAAAAATTGTTCTGATCCATAGGTCAGACCACTGAAGCAAAGGTAAGCATCTCAGGCTTTAGTTGTGCTTTAACCACTTAACAACCAGGCTATAGCCAAATGACTGCTACAGTGCGGTTGTCTAGTTCTGGGAGGGCATCATGACATCCTCCCAGAACATGCCCTGCTGCACTCCCCCCGCGATCGCTGATCGCTGTGTCCTACGAACACAGCTGATCACATGATTTGCTAAAAAGGCCAATCACAGCAGCCTTACCACATAAGCAGTGTCCAATAACACAGCAGATCACCAGGTAAATGCAGTTGCCAGCTGCACTTTACTCACGAAGAAGTACAGTAATACCTCAGTTTACAAATGTAATTTTCAGTTTACAAATGAAAATCAATTGAAAATAATGCCTTGGTTTACAAATTTTTTTTACGCAATACGAAGTGTATGTCGGTGCCGATTTTTAAACGCAATTGCCAGCTTTTTTTTTTTCTTCGCTTTAGCTCACAGAATTAGCTGTCACTTTCCCTGGAGTTAAAGAAACTAAAAGGAAACATTGTTTCTTAACTCGGGAAATAAACTTAAAAAAAAAAAAATGGCATGGGGGATCATACCAGACCCTTATCGTGCATGCAGCCCAGCAGGTCAGGAAGGTAAGGTGGGTTGCCCTGCCCCCTTACATATTTAAGAGCTGTCAAGCCATCTCAGAAGCAGAAGTTTTTTTTTTTTTTTTTTTTTTTTTTTAATTCTTTCGGGTCGGTGGCGGCGGGCATTGTGACTGATGTTGAATCTACTGCGGGAGGGACATTTTTAGTTTCTTTTAACGACTAGCCTACAGGGCACTTATACCCCCTTCCACCCCAGGCCAATTTCCAGCACTGTTACACTTTGAATGACAATTGCGCGGTCATGAAACACTGTACCCATATGAAATTTTTATCATTTTTTTGTGACAGCTTTATTTTGGTGGTATTTAATCACCTCTAGGTTTTTTATTTTTTCTTAAACCAAAAAACCGCTTAAAATTTTGAAAAAAAAAAAGTTTAGTATTGGTTATAAAATTTTGTAAATAAGTGATTTGTCTCCTTCACTGATGTGCGCTAATGAGGCTGCAGTGATGGGCACTAATAGGCTGCACTGATAAGCATTGACAGGCATCACTGATGGGCACTGAAATGCAGCACTTATGGCACTGACAGGTGACACTGAAAGGTAGCTCAGATGGGCACTGGTAGGCACTGAAATGTGGCACTGTCAGCATGACAGCTCGTGAGGAGAGAAATGCAGATAACTGGCATTTTCCTATTTAGACGCGATCAGCTGTGATTGGACACAGGTGATCACATGACCAAGACGACATCTTCAGCTCTTTCCGGTGACCCGCTGTGTCCGAGGGACACAGCGCACCACCGATTGCCATGCTGTGCGCTCCCAGAGCCGTGCATGCGCGGTTAGAATAGGACGACGTCATATAATGTCCTCCCAAACGAGAGAACCGCCTTGCATCCGTCATTGTACTATATGGTGGGCGGCGGTTAATAAAGGACTTGTCAAAGACCATGGCCTGTCTTTTTCACACTACACTTTTGGGAATGTGTAGGGGTACCATGTACCCCATATTCATTTGACTAGGGGGGCTGGGATCTGGGGGACCCCTTGTTAAAGGGGGCTTCCAGATTTCAATAAGCCCCCTGCCTGCAGACCCCCACAACCACCGGTCAGGGTTGTGGGGAAGAGGCCCTTATCCCCATCAACATGGGGACAAGGTGCTTTTGGGGGCCCCCCTGCCCCAAAGCACCCCTCCATGTTGAGGGCATGTGGCCTGGTATGGTTCAGGAGAGGGGGGCGCTTGCTCCCCCCCCCCCCCCAATTTCCTGACCTGCCAGGCTGCATGTTCAGATAAGGGTCTGGTATGAATTTTGGGGGGACCCCCACACCATTTTTCTTCATTTTGGAATTCCCCTCAAAATCCATACCAGACCCGAAGGGCTTGGTATAGATGGGGAGGAGATACCCCACGCTTTAAAAAAACTTTTTAAATGCTGGCAATTCTTTTGCATTCAGCTGTCAGTGGGGAACCCCGCCAGCAATCGCAGAGAAACAGACAGGGGATAGGTCTGAAGGTAATACAAATCTCTCCCGTCAGCACCAGCATGCTGCTTTGCATTGCTCTACATAGAGCAATACAGAGCAGCAGCCTTACACAGTAAAACAGCACAGTTTGTAAAACAGCACACAGTTAACCCTTTCATCGCCCTAGATGTTAACGCCTTCCTGCCCAGTGTCATGTACAGCGCAAGTGCTTTTTTGCTGCAGTGTATTAGCATCACTGGAGATGTCAGTGGCAGTTAGTTCCCCCCCTCCAGTGTCAAAATGCCTGCCGCAGTCCCGCTACAAGTCACTGATCGCCGTCATTAGGAGTATAAAAAAAAATAGTTCTAGTATATATACACACCGCCATTTGTAAACGCTATGACTTTCACATAAACAAATTTACACATCGGGATTTTTTTTAGCAAAGACATGTAGCAGAAAACATTTTGGCCTAAATTTGACAATTAGTTTTTTTAGTTTATAGAAAAAAGTAAAAAAAATTCTTAATTTTTTCTCTATAGTGCATACATTTCATTTGGGTGCAGAGTTGCATGACCACGTAATTGTCAGTAACAGTGTCATCACAAAAAATGGCCTGGTCAGGAAGGGTGGGGGTGCAGGCAAATCCTCTGGAGGGTAAGTGGTTAAGGGTAGGTTCACACCTGTGCAGTTTGTGTTTGATCCGTTTCAGCATTGCATTTTTTCTTATTGCTAGGCAGATTTAAAAACGCATCAAAAACACACTACAATGTTTCTGCAGAGTTTCCATTTAAGTCTATACAACCAAAAAAGTGACTTCTTGCGTAAAAAAAAAAAAAAAAAAAGTCCCTGACCCTTTTCCAAAAACCGCACCAGGTGAAAAAGCACCCCATAGGAATTCACGTTAGATGTACTATAGTGCGTATCTGCAAAACGCCTAGGTGTGCGCCTGCGGCAAAGCAGAGTCCAGCAATGCCCCCACTTCTATCTTCCACTATCACGGGCTCTCTGCACACCACTATACAAGTCCCTCTGAGGAGCCGCCACATGGCTTCCCTCCTCCCCTCAGATCCCAGCAATGCACACACTCCGTCCAGGTCCAAAGCCCAGACACAACCACAAGCAAAGAGCACGAAGGCCGCATCCTCCCGCCCAATAACTCTACAACCCCACAAACAACGAACCGGAGCCGAGACATTCGCACAGCTACACCCATCAACACAACACCATGTTTTACCCGAGCAAGCTTGATCGGCTGCACGCGGCCTGTATCCATGATGGCGGATTCGAGCAAGAGAAGAGAGTCACGTGTTCTCCCTCCTGCCTTTTATAGCTATCGAAGAGACTGGGCGGGGCGAACGAGATTGCGTCATCGCTTGTTCTTGCTAGCGGTTTTTGTGAGTCAACGTATAGAAATGCCTGCTACGGCGACAAGAAAGCTACTTGTTGTTAAAGGTTTTATCGGTTTTTATGTTCTAAAGAAGGCACGTGACCCTCCTGTTTACTAGTATTTAATATAACGCAGGTTGGTTGCCATCTTGCTGGAGACCGGAAGTAGAGGAAGTCGTTTTGCTGTAAACTGGCAAGAGGGGATTAGCTCGGCCTCTGTAACTAGGGTGATTGAATGCTCCGCCCTGGGTGTCCTTGACAAGAGAGATGGCTTCTGCTACAAAATTCATCCAGAGGGTGCGGAACTGGTTGTCTGGGGTAATGTTATACCGAACTTTACTTCATCAAAATATGATGTCATCCTGACTAGTGTAAGGGGCTTGACCGAATGTTTATGGCTGAAAAATGTGCGACAGTGTATAGAGGTGGCTTGTAGGACTCTGATAATCGTATCCACTGGCTATACAGTAGATGACCATACACTGCTCAATCTGATTGTACAATCTCCTTTACAGCTCCCATTAGTCTGATTTGCAAATGCCTTCCTGATGCAAGGAATTGTTTAGGTTTGTTTTCATATTACATAGTCATTTGGTAAGTTTAAAGTGCTTCTAAAGTCAAAACTTTTTTTTTCTTTTTACCATAATGCACTCTATGCATTAAAGTGGTTGTGAACCTCAGACATGAAATATGAACAAAGCATATCCCCGGATGGTGTGTACTTGTCTCAATCCAGAGCATTCCGGTTGTTGATTTACTAAAACTGGAAAGTGCAAAATCTGATGCAGCTGTGCATGGTAGCCAATCAGCATCCAAATTCAGCTCAATTTACTGGTTCATGTAGTCTAATGATGGACGGGGAGTCATTCGCCGGTCTGGGAGGACGTCATATGATGTATTCCTAGGCTTAGCGTGTGGTGAGTGGTGCTGAGCTGTGTCCCTTGGACACAGTGCATCACTGATCAGAGTAAAGAGCCAATGACTGCAGCTCATTACAATGTGATCACTGTGTCTAATTACAGCTGATCACAAGTGGAAACAAAGACCAGTAAATCACTGTTACAGGCTTATTCTTCTTTTACACAGACCATGTGTGAGGAAAAGGTGATTACAGGAACCATGAGTTACTAATTTAACCTTGTCAGTATTGTGTACAACACCTAACTGCCCTGATTATCCCTGGAGTAAAGTGTACCTGTCATACTGTTGTCATCAGTGCAGCCTAATCAGTGTACCTGTCACATCACACAGCAGCCATCAGTGCAGCCTAATCAGTGTAACTATCACACAGAAGCCATCAGTGCAACCTGATTAGTGTACCTGTCACATCACACAGCAGCCATATCAGTGTACCTGTCACACCACACACAACATCCATCAGTGCAGCCTACTCAGTGTATCTGTCACATCACAGCAGCCATTAGTGCAGCCTAATCAGTGTACCTGTCACACAGAATCCATCAGTGCAGCCTAATCAGTGTACCTGTCACATCACACAGCAGCCATCAGTGCAGCCTAATCAGTGTAACTATCACACCGAAGCCATCAGTGCAACCTGATCAGTGTACCCACTGTCACATCACACAGCAGCCATATCAGTGTACCTGTCACACCACGCAACATCCATCAGTGCAGCCTACTATGAACCTATTATGTCTGCCTTCCAACTTAGAATCAGTTACAATTCCCCCCCATTTACTGCACAGCCAGGTGTTCATGCCACCACTTAACATTTTTCAGAGATTGTTTTTTTTTTTTTCCATTTATTTTTCACTGACATTTTTTTTTCAGTTGATTGTGGACCAGACCAATCTTTTTCCCCAGGAATACATTGCAAATGACCCAAATTCATCCTATGCCCATACATTTGAATGGGAACATCTCACAGTGGAGGTGTTTACAATTAAAATGGGGCTTTAAAGAAAAAATTAAGGACATGCTTACTAGTCCACTGCACCCATTCATCACATGCCCTTTTATTCAGCTGTTATGCCCAGGGCAGGCTATGACATGAGTCTGCGCTTCCTCCATTTCAATGATAATACACAGTGCCCGCTACAAGGTCAGCCTGGCTATTATCGGCTCTACAAAATTTACCCATTCATTAATTTTTTTTATCCCCCAAAGATTTCCTGAATTGTATGTCCCTGACAAAAACATCCGTGTGGACAAGTCCCTTGTCCACTTTACTGACCGGCTGGGAATCAAGCAGTACATTCCCAGTAAAAGGGCCAGATATGGAGTGAAGCTCTACAAGCGGTGTGAAAGAGCCATAGCATATGTGAGTGCCCATCTTACATTGGTACAAGTGGAAAAATTGTCTGGGACCTGGCTTTTCCACTATTCAAAAAGGGGTATTACTACCTGGATAACTTCTACACAAATCTGCCCCTTTTCCGCCACCTGTGCCTCTAGAAAACCTTGGCCTGCGGTGCCACCCGAACAAACAGGAAGGGCTTCCCACAAAGTCTCTGGTGACCACAAGGCTTCAAAGGGAGGAGTCAGCAAGTATGAGGAACAAGGAAGTGTTGACCATAAAGTGGAGGGATGAGAGAGATGTGTACATCCTATCCACCATCCACAATGACACCTTGGTGGAAATTCACGGAAGATGCTTTTCCATCCAAAAGCTTGCAAGAGTGCATCCATGAATATAATCGTTTCATGGGGGGATTTCAACGATCAAATGCTACAGCCCTATTTATCAATAAGAAGGTCTCTCTACTGGTATAAAAAAAGTTTCAATTTACTTTTTTCATTTAGCCATTTATAATGCGTATGTCACCTTTTACTTTTTTTCATTTAGCCATTTATAATGCATATGTCACCTATCACAAGTCCGTGGAATTCAAAGTTATAGATTATATTGTCAGGTATAGGTTGTATAGCGAGGGCTTACTGTAACAAAAAATTGGTACAAGCTGCTAGAACACCAAAAAGGCAACCAACATAACCTTCCAAGACAGCATGAAAATAATAAAGGTGCAGCGCTATAAATAAAGGTAGTGAAATATCAACATAGACACAATTTCTAAGAATATGCAAATAGTGGTGTTAGATCATATTATTTCATCTATATAATAAAATTTGATGTTCAATCTAGTGTCCAAAACACGAAAAGGATGTGATGTGCAAATTCTGCCGGGTCTCCTTTGCCAGTAAGGATAAGTGATCCGAAGGTGAACAAGAAATAAATGAAATGCGCACTCACCCGAAGTGCGTTTAAAATACGCATGAAAGAAGTTTCCTCTCTCATCGGGTACATCTAGGTCCTCTGCACTCAGGTCAAATTGCGCTCTCTAGTCCCCACTGGTCATCCATCATGGCAAGGTTCCCTGGTTCATCAGACACTCATGCACCTCTGGGGTCCCTCCTTAACTTTGGTACTGCGGAAGGGTGGCGCTCATAAAGAGAGCCCAATAAGGGACATCACATAGCGTGATACTGCATAAATGTACTTGATTTCCAGAAGTAGAGATAAAAACCAAAAGTACTGACCGCCATGATTCAAGATGGCCACCAGCGGTGGCTAGATGTCCAGATGCTGTAGCCCTCTCTGACGCGTTTCGTGCTACGGATGTCCTGAGATTACAGGGTATTGTCACTGCCCTAATCTACCAGCAATGATCTCCACCAGAAAACATTCGCTCCTGATTCTGTGAGTAGACTTCATAAGTGACCTTTTCAGGAAAACATATCACCCACAGAAACAGGCCGTAGACATAAAAAAATGTTGAGTATGTAGCAGAGGAGGAGTTAGGAGGGACACTAGTTTTCATTGTGCCCAGTGTCCCTCCCACCTGGGTCTATGCATCAGAGACTGCTTCCAACGTTATTGCACGTCACAAAATATTTTTGAAGGTATAGTGTCCATATGTCTAACAGCCTGCCATTTCTCTGTTTCTAATATCTATGCTGATCAGTTGCCTGGTGCCTTGACTGACCATGCCTCTGCCTTCCACATTATCTGACACTAATGATGCCTCTGCCTGCCATCTGGATTGTTTATCAGCCACATTTCTTTCTTCCACCTGAACTGACCTCAGCTTGTTAATGGACCATGTTTTTTGCCTGCCACTTGGACTGATCTTTTGCCTTGTTACTGTAGTAGTAGGATTCAAGATAACACAGGGGTCTGACATACACTATATTGCCAAAAGTATTGGGACACTCCTCCAAATCATTGAGTTCAGGTGTTCCAATCGCCTCCATGGCCACAGGTGTATAAAACCAAGGACCTAGGTATGCTGACTGCTTCTACAAACATTTGTGAAAGAATGGGTCACTCTTAGGAGCTCGTTGAATTCAAGCATGGTACCATGATGGGTTGCCACCTGGGCAGTAGGTCCATCCGTGAAATTTCCTTGCTACTTAACCACTTACCGTCCGGCTGCTGTATATAAACGGCCGGAGAGTGGCAGTCCAGGGGCGGGTTGCTGTTTATAAACGGCGCCTGCCATTTTGGACTGTGCACGCTCCCTGACATACCCTGGAATGTTTGGCCTCGGTACAGCCACACAAGGTGATACACACGGGTTAAAATAGCAAGTAAAGGTTCATTTCCCACATCTGTGGCCTTTTAAGTTGCAATTAGTGTATGTGTATACACATACACTAATTGCAACTTAAAAGGCCACAGATGTGGCTGTACCGAGGCCAAACATTCTAGGGTATGTAAACTTTTCAGGGCCATTTGGGTGTGTTCTGTTATTATTATGATTTAAAAGGTGCCAAACAACAATTTGATAATAAATGGCTTCATATGATTACAATCCTGAAATAAAAAGTTTTTTGGCATGATCAGTCTTATTTTCAATAGCCAAAATTTCACCATTTCTACCACAGTATGCAAACTTTTCAGCACAGCTGTATAGATCACTTATTCCTGTTGGGAAAGAAATCGATCATTATGGTCACCATAAGGCCCCCTTAAATCGATCGAAATCGATCATTATGGTCACCATAAGGCCCCTTGCACCCAGAGTGTCTAGATGCAGTGCATCCCTGCCAGCATTTTAATGGAGGAACTGGTGCAACATCTAGCCTGGGCTTGCAGCCTGTCCAAGAGATTCCCTGCATTTGCTGGGATTTCCTCTCACTTCCTATGATCAGGAAGTGAAGGTAGATCTCCCTAATGAGATACAGATGGCAAAAAAGCTGACAGGAGTTATGACCCTTCATTACTGTATCCAAAATGAGAAAAAAAAAGTTATTTTTAACTATAGGTATACTTTTACTCCTACAGATATATAAACTCAACTCCAATCAACTACTTTTTTTAGTTTTGAACATATTGGGAAAGTGTTTAGAACTTCTAAAGTATTTATTCCCATTCATCACTTTATCTATTTCTTATCTATTCAGGGAGTTGGAAAAGATAGATGGGGGAAATCTTCCCAGTGGTTACACAGACAGCAGATGTATTTATTTATTCCCCCCCCCCCCCCCCCCTCATTTTCTATCCAGGTCATGGATAGCATACTGAGCTGGAAGTAAGGGAAACTGCACCTGGAAACCATCGATAGCATCCCTGCTTTCCCCAATTGTTTAGGCACCTTCCAATTTCTTCTTTATACGTCAGTAATTCCTTTGCTGCTAGATGACCGAATGGACGTGACCTTTTTATTTTTGGGATCACTGTATTTAGACCAGCAGTTTAAGCATGTATTAGTTTCTAATATTTCTTGCATGTACCACCCTCAAATACAATACCTGTTGTCTAAAATTGGCAGTTTAACCACCTGGACCGCAGGCCGATTCTACTTTTTCTCACACTCATTTAAAATCAGCATTTTTTTATTATTTTTGTGCTGGAACATTAGTTAGAACCCCCATGCATTATATATTTTTAAGCAGAGGTCCTGGAGAATAAAATGGTTGTTGTTTGTAATTTTTTTTATGTTGCATAATATTTGCACATCAGTTTATCAAATACAAATTTTCAGGAAAAAATACACTTTAGTGTACACAAACACTATATAATACCTAATTTTTTGTTTAAGTGTAAAACAAATTATGTTACGCTGAGTATATAGATACATAGCGTGTCACGCTTTAAAATTACATATGCCTGTGGAACAGTCACAAACCACAATACCTGAAAAATCTCCATTGGCGACGCTTTAAAAGCCTTTACGGTTTACCAGTTTATAGTTACACAGGAGGTCTGGTGCTAGAATTATTGCTCTCACTCTGATGTTCTTGCTAATACCTCACCTCACATGTGAGGTGCGATTTGCTGTTTACATATGCATGTGGAACTCATATGCAGATTCACATTTGCGTGTGAGGATGGATGGGCACGGTTGTTTTTTGTTTTTTTTTTAACACTGTAATATATATATTATTATTATTAGTCATTTTTTTTTATTAACTTTATTGCTATCATCAACAACATCCCTTGTGATAGCATGGGCCATGGCTTTAGCTCTCCTCTGCCCTGTGTACACAGCCATGCTCCTGTAAATGGTCTTGGTCATTTTGCATCAACTTTTACCTGCGCATGTGTTCAATGTATTTTCCAAATTTGAAAAATTCACGCTCGGGAAATATGTTTGACGCTGGATGTGCGAAAGCACCAGGAAATTTACAGCATATAAAATGTCTATAAGTGCTTGTGTACGTGAACCCCTAAAGTTGACTTTCTATTATAATTACATAAACAAAGTTTCATGAGACTTCAGACAGGTGGGAATGTGTCAGGGAATTGAAGGTTGGAGATTGCTCTAACCAGCTTACAAAGAGATTGAAGGTTGCCAACAGCTTCTTTCTATAGCCAGAAACATAATTACTTCTTTGTGTGTTTTCCAATTTGCAGTTGAGGGTACAATGTAGATTATACTGTTAAAAATGTTTGCATGTAGGATCTATTTTACCTTTAGGCTTAAAATGTATTTCTTTTAATTTGCAGCATTATCTTCAAGAAAAGCTACAGCTGCGGTATACGGAAATTTCTACCAGGTAATGCAACACTTAAAAGAAAAAATGCTGAAAGATAATACCTTTTTATCTGTATTGAGAATAAAATCCAAATACTCTTTTACGCTCCTGTATGCTGTATTACGCTGTATCTACATTTTGGGTAAATGCTGTGGGCTTTGCCCACTAAATAGTTCTGTAATAGGATCTTCTGGTTCAAGCCAAATATCTACAACTCATGGATTACAGTGCTGGAGGCCCCCATATAAACCCAGGAGTGGCAGTGAGGTAGATCACTTTTTAGAGAGCAGTTGACAGGTGGCAGGGAGGCAATATGTTTCCTTATCACTGCATGTTTTAACCCTGGAATGCCAGCATCACTGCACCACAACCACATGAATGGGTTGTATTCGGTTGTAGTACTGCCCACTGAACACGACAGGGGTATAGTTTTTGCTGCAAAGAAAAGCATTGCGGCCATGTCATGTGTACAACCACCTCTGATTACTGTATTAACCCCTTGCCCTCCTGAGGATTTGCCCCCCCTTCCCGACCAGGCCATTTTTTATGTTACTGCGCTGTGTTACTTTCACTGACAATTGCATGGTCATGCAACTCTGCACCCAAATGAAATTTACATACTTTTTTTCCCACGAATTGAGCTTTCTTTCTGTGGTATAAAAAGCCAGGTTGGAGCTAAAACTTACCCGAGGAAGCCAAAATCCTTTCGGGAGAATGCGCTATGGACCGGCAGAACAAAATTGCAGCTTTTTCATAAAGCCCATCAATCTACTGTTTCAGAAAAAGCAATGAGGCCTTTAAAGAAAAGAATACAGTCCCTACAGTCAAACATGGTGGAGGTTCACTGATGTGTTGGGGTTGCTTTACTGATTCAAACACTGGATGTCTTGACCGTGTGCATTCCATTATAAAATCTGAAGACTACGAAAGAATTCTGGGGTGCAATGTAGAGCCCAGTGTCAGAAAGTTGGGTCTCCGTCAGAGGTGATGGGTCTTGCCGCAGGACGGACAATGATCCAAAGCACACGTCAAAAAGTACCCAGAAATGGTATCAGACAAAGCTCTGGAGAGTACTGAACTGGTCAGCAAATGAGTCCAGATCTCAATTCCATAGAGCACCTGTGAAGAGATCTCAAAACAGCAGTTGGGAAAAGGAACCCTTCCAATCTGAGAGAGCTGGAGCAGTTGATGAAAGAAAAGTGGTCCAAAATTCCAGTAGAGGTGTAAGAAACTCATTGATGGTTACAGGAAGAGTTTGATTTCATTAACAAAAAAACCTTCAGAATTCAGGTGCCACTACAGCCTGATGGTAGTGCCTCAAAAGAGAAGTTTGTTTTTTGTTTTTTCCCCAAATTACACTTGCCTAGGTGTATGCAGCATCGATCCAATGCTTCATCTGTCCCCCTGTCGGCTCTGAGTGTGAGCGAACACATGACCGCTGATCGCTGAGTTCTCACTACCGCTGTGAGCAGAGAGCGGTGACTGTCAGTCACCGCTGTCTGCTCTGTCACGCCCTCCCCCCCCTTCTGTGCTCATTGGAGCACTAGTCTGTGGAGGGGTAGGGAGCGGTTGGCTCAGGCTCTTAGCAGATCTCTAATGGACTGAGCCAGGTGCCGCTCTAGACTCTGGGGTGGATCCTAACTTTAAAGTCAGCCCACTGTCAGCTGAAAACAGGTCACAGGAGTGCAGAATGAACAGCTTTGGCTGTACTTCTCCTTTTAAATGCTTTAACTGTCATTAAATGCACTTTAAAAAATAAAACTTTGTCAGCATATAATTTTAAAAGAGTAGCTTTTTATTAAGACAGTATGCCAGTTATATACTTATATGCATGCTGATATCATTATGTATACCTCTTTAAAATTTTAAGCATATTTGACCTTTAAGAGGCAACAATTGTTTATTAATCAAAGTGAAGACAGTTTAAGATATTGTATGCAAATTTTTCTTAAATAGTGAGTGTGATGGTTATTATTATTTAGAATACATGACAATGTTTTAATCCTCAAATATTTGTTTACGTATCTTTATGACATATTATTGTGTATTATTATTATTACAGGTACTAATATAGTGCTGCCAATTTTACCCTCAAGGGGCGTACAATCTAAAGTCCCTAACTTACATTCATATATACACATACTAGGGCCAACTTAGGATCCAATTCACCTACCAGCATGTCTTTGGAGTGTGGGAGGAAACTGGAGTACCCAGAGGAAACCCACACAGGCACAGGGAGAACAAACTCTAGGCAAGTGGAGCCGTGGTTGGCATTCGAACCAACGACCCTAGCACTGCCAGGCGGAACACAACACAGAAATGGGAGTTGATGAACACAACACAGAAATGGGACTTCTTCAAAAAGACTATGGGAACACACTGCAAAATTTATTCTCATGGGCAACAAGTTTAAAAGGCTAAAAATCAAACCTATGTGGCTTACAGCCAAAGTTAAAAAAGCTATAGATAATAAGAAAAGAGCTTTTATTTAATATAAAAAATGAAGGAATGCTATCATCGTTTAAACATTACAAAGAATATAACAGAATATGCAAAAAGGAAATAAAGGCCGCAAAAATTGAAAACGAATGACAGATTGCAAAAGAGAGCAGGACCAACCCCAAAAAATTCTTCAAATCTATTAATAGTAAAAAGGTCCGGTCCGAGCATGTAGGCCCTTTACATCATAATCTAGAGTGGGTGACTGGGGGACAAAGAGAAGGCAAATTTATATAATACCTTCTTCAGCTCTGTGTATACAATACAAAGGAGCATGGGGGAGCTCTTGTCCATAATGGGCATGGTATTGACACAGCTCCAGATGATCCACATTGGCTCACAATTGATATGTTCCAAAAATATACCATATAAGATGAGTTCTTGCTGTAAAAAAGTATTTTAAACAACAGACAGCATGGATTTATGAAAGACAGAAGTTGTCAAACAAATCTGATTTCTTTTTATGAGGGAGTGAGCAAAACCTTGGACAGAGGGGTAGCGGTAGACGGGGTATACTTAGATTTTGCAAAAGCGTTTGACACAGTTCCCCACACACACGGCTAATGTGTAAGGTAAAGTCTACAGGCTTGGAAAAATCTGTATGTAAATGGATAGAAAACTGGCTAAAAGATCATATTTAAAAGAGTAGTGGTTAATGATTCATACTCTGAATGGTCTGGGGTCATCAGTGGTGTACCCCAGAGTTCAGTGTTGGGACCCTTACTTTTTAATACATTTTTAAATGATATCGGGTCTAAGATTAAAAATCCCATTTCAGTCTTTGCAGATGACACCAAGCTGTGCAGTGGAATAACGTCCTTACAGGAGGTCTTCAATTTACAAGCTGACCTCAATGCACTGTTTAATTGGGCAACAATGTGGCAAATGAGGTTTAATGTTGATAAATGTAAGGTGATGCACTTGGCGGCTAAGAATATACATGTATCATACATACTAGGGGGAGTACAGCTGGGGGAATCAATGGTGGAGAAGGATCTGGGGGTTCTGGTAGATCACAAGCTTAATAATGGCATGCAATGCCAAGCTGCGGTTTCTAAAGCGAGCAAAATCCTCTTGTATTAAAGGGAGGGAGAGAGAGAGAGGGGGGGGAGAGAGAGAGGGAGTGAGAGAGAGAGAGAGAGAGAGAGAGAGAGAGAGAGCATTTTGTCCCTGTACAAAGCAATAGTAAGACCTCATCTGAAATATTAAGTTCAGTTTTGGGAACCAATTCACAAAAATAACATTGAGGAACTTGAGAAAGTACAGAGAAGGGCAACTAAACTGATAAGAGGCATGGAGGAGATCAGCTATGAGGAAATATTAGAGGAACTGAATTTACTCTGTTTTGAGAAGAGGAGATTAAGGGGGGATATCAACATGTATAAATACATCCGTGGTTCATATAGTGAACTCGGTGTAGAGCTATTCACCCTGAGGTCATCACAGAAGACAAGGAGGAAAAATAAATTTAATCTCCAAACACGGAAAGGTGTTTTAACAGTGAGAGCTGTGAACATGTGGAATAGACTCCCTCAAGAGTTGGTTCTGGCCAGCTCAGGGGATTGCTTTAAAAAAGGCCTGGATTCTTTCTGGATACACAGAATATAACTGGATACTAACATTTATAGGTAAAGTTGATCCAGGGAATATCCGATTGCCTCTCGGGGGATCAGAAAGGAATTTTTTTCCCAGCAGGTGCAAATTGGATCGTTCTTTGCTGGGTTTTTTTGCCATCCTCTGGATCAACTGTGGGTATAGGATTATAACTTTTTTTTTTCTATGGTTGAACTGGATGGACTTTTGTCTTTTTACAGCCAGACTAACTATGTAAGTACTAGCCATGTAGCCACTGTGCTGCACCATCATACCGCTGTATGGGTACCTAATCTTAAGTGGATACTGATTTTGTATTTCAACAGTTTTTTTTAGTTTATGCATACTTATTTACTACATACTCAAAGACAAAATAAATCGCCTTTTTAACATTAACCTGGACGTCTTAGACTCTATGACCCCAGCTCACGAAAAGGGTTAAGCCTAACTTTTTTTTTTTCTCATCTATAGTCAGGTGTGTTTTTTTTTTTTTTTTTTTGTTTTTTTTAACATCTCCAATGTCGAGGATCAGCCAGTCTGGAAAAATGAAATATGCCCCTTCTGGTTCTATAGCAATAGTGGAAATGGCTCTGTCTCTCACAGGAATTCTTTTCCACTACCAGATGTCCTCAGTCTTAAGAGCTGAATGATGCCTAGAGTCGTTCGACCAGAAAATTGGGGATATCAAAGTAAATTTCATGGACGAGCCTCCCCCACTCAGTGTGTAATAATGTATAGAACCATCATGTCGTCGCTGCTGGAAAAATACGAAGAGGAGAGGATCCTGCGTACCACGAGACTGGTCTTTGTGAAAAAGGTAAGTATGGAAAGAAAAACCTAAAATGTATGGGGGTGGCTCCAGATGGAATGGGTGGGTGACAAGGAGTCAGAGCCCTGAGTTGGGCTTTAAGGCTAATTAGGACTAATTTTTATCTTTAATTCTTAGGACTCCACCACCTCCAGCTCTACCTGTGGGTCCAAGCCATAAATTTGCCAACAACTATTATTGTTCACGTGATGGACGCAGAGAAGCTATGCCTCCTTCAATTGTTATGTCTTCCCAAAAGGTTCTTGCTGCTGGAGGAACCACGGTCAGGTAAGTGATTAACCTGTTCCACAGATTGCAGCAAAGATTATGTCCTGAGTCTAAGTTTAACTTTCATTTGCAGGGAGTGGGGAAGCGTGGGTTAGAACCTCTGTCAGGTTTTGCTGTGATGCTAAGTGATCACGCACACCTCAAAAAAATTAAAGGAACATTTTAAAAACACATCAGATTTCAATGGGAAAAATTATAATGCTGGATATCTATACTGATATGGACTGGGTAATGTGTTAGGAGCGTAAGGATGCCCCATTGTTTGATAAAAATTAAAATCATCAACCTACAGAGGACTGAATTCAAAGACACCCTGAAAATCAAAGTGAAAAAAATGATGCAGCAGGCTAGTCCATTTGCTGAAATTTCATTGCAACAACTCAAAATGGTACTCAGTAGTTTGTATAGCTCCCACATGTTGTTGTCAAGGTTGTCAGCCTTGGAGCATTCTCCTTATGAAACGACAGATGGTGTCCAGGGGTGTTTCCTCCCATATATGGGCCAGGGCATCATTGAGCTCCTGGACAGTCTGAGGTGCAACCTGGCAGCATCAGATGGACCAAAACATGATATCCCATGTTCTTTAGTGTCGATAGGCGATTTTGGAATAATTGAAGAGCCAGCGAAGTAAAAAATAGAGTGATTTTATTTTATCACACAATGGCTTAAAATAACAATGTAAAACATATCATGAATAACCGTTCCGTGGAGGTAAAACAGAAATATCAAAACAGAAGTTATAAAGATATGTCACCATTATTTTCATGGCCGTTCTCCCATGTGCTTCTTGTCTTTTTCAAATGCAGCTTGAGTTTTTAGCAAGAAGGAAGTGACGTGCTTTTAGAGTATGCACCTGTTCCAGTCTGTGAATAACCATAGTATCTTCATGCCATGCTTGTGTGTGTATGAGTGTGTGTGTCAAGTGCACTTGGCATCTCTTAGGATATCTTTTTATATGTCATAATTCATGATCTTAGAACCTTGTATGGCAAACAATACTGCTTAGTAGAGCAATTTAATTGAAGGGAGGGGATACTACATATATGGTCTTTTGATTGACAAGCCCATATGTAGTGGCTTCATAAGCTGACAATGTTGCATCAGCCTGCTCATGTGACCAGTTTCTCTGTTTAAATGATAGTATAAACTAAGAATCTATCTTTACAACATAATATCTCAATAATTTTGTATAACCAAAAATCTACTTATGTAACACATATTACCAACTTATAAAACATATATTAAATACACACAGATACTATTAGAATATATATTATTTCCACTATGGCGGCGGTGGAGAGCTCGCGGTAGGAGCTCCCGCCTGGCTCCCTTCCGACCGATCCCCGGTTGACTCATGAATCCCCCTGAAAGTATCGTGTCCTAGAAGCCAGAGACCTACCTTGGCCCAGCGGGCTCCTTCGGCCGAGTGGCAGCTCGCGGGAGGGGAGAGCTGGGTGACGGAGTCCAGCAGAGAGCGGCGGGGAAGCTGACTGTGGTTGCCGGGAAACAGGGAGGCGCGGCCGGGACATGTGACCGACCGCAGTGCATCCCTGGGAGGAGAGGAAGCCGGCCGGTCGGCTGGCTGGCTGGCCGGAGATGATCCCCTGTTGACTCATGAATCCCCCTGAAACTATCGTGCCCTAGAAGCCAGAGACCTACCTTGGCCCGGCGGGCTCCTCCAGCCGAGTGGCGGCTCGCGGGAGGAAGAGCTGGGTAACGGAGACCAGCAGAGAGCGGCGGGGAAGCTGACTGTGGTTGCCGGGAAACAGGGAGGCGCGGCCGGGACATGTGACCGACCACAGTGCATCCCTGGGAGGAGAGGAAGCCGGCCGGCCGGCTGGCTGGAGACGGAAAGCCACTGTTGGAGCCCTGTGGGGGTGAACGGAGAAAAACTCCCTTCCAAACAAGGAAGGGGGAGAAAGTCCTGGAAACTCCTGGAGGGTCCCCCTGAGAGCAAGAGAGCCAATCCATCGGAGGAGCTGGATAAATCCCATGGGAGGCGCAGGGAAGGTGAGTGACTCCGGCTGTGTCCTCAAAATAAAAAACTGTGATGATATGGGAGGAATTGCGTTAAGTTGAAGGAAAGTATGAGAGTGAGAGAACAGAGGGGACCCCCAGACAATATATAAAGAAGAGAGAAGAATATAAGGTGCTGGCAAAGAAACACACAGAAAGTTAACAGACAGGGGCTGGGATTTCCAGTTTTATATCACATAGACTTTTTTTTGTTTTGTTTTGTTTTTTGTTCTTTTTTTGTGAAATATTAGTTCATGAGTGAAAAATAAAAAAGTTCAGAAGCAATGAAGAACAAAAGTGCAAAAGGAATTGGTCCTAAAGGGACCCAAAAGGGTACAATTAAAAGGTACACATCCCAGGGAAACGGGACCCCGGAAAGGCCCCAGAGCAGAAATGACAAAGGAGAATCAGAATTAAGTATTCAAAATAGCCCCAAACAAGTAATGGATTTGGACAGTAGTAATCAACAAGTATCAGAGACAGAAAAAGACCTACAAATCCCAAATAAAAAAGAGATGACAGAAATGATTAAAGAACTGGAGAGAACAATAAAGCAAGAAATGGTAAATATTCGGAGTGATCTGGGGCAGTTGTTGTTAAGAGTGGAGGAAACGGAGCAGAAAGTTAAAAATCAGACCCAGATCATATCCGAACTAGATAACAAGATAATTAATATGGAAAAAGTTCAGGAAAAATTGCGGTATAAGGCGGAAATCCAAGAGAATAGAGAAAGAAGGAGAAATATAAGGATAAGAGGGGTACCGGAAAGCCTAAAAGGAGAACTAATGGAAGAGGTGGTTGGCAAATTACTGAACTATATAATGGGAAACTCTGATATGGAAAGGATTAATATAGAAGGAATCTCCAGAAATGGGAAAATCCAGGGGATCCATGAGAAGGATAGGCCGAGAGACACATACTGGTTAAACTTTTGGATCTGCAGCAAAGGGAAAGAATATGGAGGAAAACTAAAGGAAAACCAGTAATAAAATACAGAGAAATGGACATTCAAATATATGCGGACTTGTCACCGGAGACTCTCTGGAAGAGGAGAGCTCTGAGGCCTTTGCTGGAGCAGATGAGAAAACAGAAGGTGCAATATAGATGGGGGGTATCGGAGTGTTTAATAGGATGGAAAAATGGAACAACAGCCCATTTGAGGTTCCCAGAGGACTTGAGAAATTTTTGTGATAGACTGGAAATGCAGAGAATTGAAATTAATGAATGGAAAGAAGAACCTGGGGGAATTGGATTAAGGAGAGGGGATGAGTGGAGACTGGTGGAGGGGGGGAGGTAGGGCGGAGAGGGGGGGGGTGGAGGGGAGAGAGGGTTTTTTTTTTTTTTTTTTTTTTTCTCTTCCTCTCTCTGCCCCTCCTTGTCCCTAATTTGCCTCCTGTTTCCTCCTTCACTCCTCTAGCTTTGCTATAATTCTTCCCCTCTTTGTTAAGAAGTACAAGTAGAAAGGGGTTAATGGGGGGGATCTGGATGGAGGGGAGGCTAGCCATGGGAGGAGTGTAGCCCTAAGGACTAAATCAAAGGTGGATATTAGTTCCACAAATGATGAATAGGCAAAGTGAAGGCCTAAAAAAAGGAGGGGGGGGGGGAGGGAGGGATGGTGGTGAGGTGGGGGGGGAGGGGATGCAGGGGAGGGAGAGGGGAGGGATTGTGGGAAGAGGGGGGGGGGGAGGGAGGGAGGGGATAAGGGGAGAGAAAAGGTTAGTGGGATAAATACGCTCTACAGGTATAAGAAAAAGGAAAGTAAGGAGGAAAAGGAGTCAGAAGGAAAAGAGTAAGATGGAAGAAATCCAATATATAACCTATAATGTAAAAGGGTTAAATTGTCCAGGAAAGAGATTTAGGTTATTTAAAGAACTACAACATAGAAAATCCTCAGTGATATTCTTGCAAGAAACACACTTAGAGATAGAGTCGAAGGTTAGACTGAGAACCAGATACTTTCCGACATGGTTTTATGCGGATTCACCAATTAAAAGAGCAAAAGGAGTTGCTATAGGCTTTGCTAAAAATATAAGGTTTGAGGTTGAGGAGAGATTGACGGACCCGGAGGGAAGGTTCCTATTTTTGAGAGGTAAATTACAGGGAATTGAGTGCACAATAGCAAATATATATAGTCCAAATAAGAAGCCAGAGACATTTGTGAGAGAAGTGTTGAAGAGATTGATGGACTTTAAAAAAGGGTGTATGTTAGTGGCGGGTGATTTTAACCTCTGTATAGACCTGAAGATGGATACCACTTCCTGTGTGAGGAGAGAGGAAAGCAAGTCCTTGAGAAGGTTAAAAAAAAAAAAATGATGCATGAGTGTCAACTGGTGGACATCTGGAGAATTAGGAATATGAAAGAGAGAGATTATACTTTCTTTTCGCAAGTACATGAGACTTATTCTAGACTAGATTACATATTAGTAGAACACCAAATGATAGAATGGGTGGGGGAGTAAAAATAGGAGAAAGCACCCTATCGGATCATGCCCCGTTAGAAATGAGGTTAAGATGGGGTAGAGAAGAGAGAGAGGGATATGTGTGGCGGATGAATGAGGCACTCCTCATGGATGAAGAGATTAGTCGAAGAATTGAGAGGGAAATTGAGTGTTTTTTTTGAAGAGAACGAGACAGAGGATGTATCGGTAGCAACGGTGTGGGAAGCTCATAAAGCTTACATCAGAGGTCTGCTCATTGCAATGGGGGCAAAAAAGAAAAAAAAAGGAAAGAAAAGATAAATAGATTATTATTAAATGAAATAAATGATCTTGAACAGGTGCATAAAAGGGAAAGATCTAAGGAGATAATGCAGGGGTTAATAAAGAAGAAAGAAGAACTAGAGAATGTAATGGAGGAAGAAAAAAAAAGAGTCTTTAATAAAATAACATGTGAAAGGTATAGATGGGGAGATAGGCCAGGAAAGTATTTAATGAGAACTTTAAGAAAGAAGAAAAATAGAAATTATATTGAGAAAATAAGAAACC